CTCCAGGGGCGACATGTGGGAGATACCATCCCCAGCCACTATATGGAGTATATGGAGGGTATATGGTACATACCATCCCATGTTTTCCTTGGGGGGAGGGATGGAGAGATCTGAGCGCCCGACCAATGGGAGATAGACCTCGGATGGATGCCCCCCCTACATTTCGGCCTGACCTGAGTTATTCGATTCGCGAGGCAAACGCAAAACCTGCTCTAACCTGGCGAAACCCGAGCTTGGTGAGTTTGCCACTCATCCAAAGCCACTGGAGTCCCGCCACACAGAGAAAAGGCGTCAAACCTATGGACACCCCAGGGCAGGAAAGCTTTTCAGGGAACCCCAAAACGGCCTGAAGGCCTTGAAAAAGGGTGTTGTGGGGGAACAACCCTAAGCCAAGGGCCGTTTGAGGATCCCCTCATGACGCCCCCTTAGGTTGGATTTGAATGCCGCTTCGCTTGGCGGAGCTAGGCGGCAAGCCTATTTTGCAAGCATCTGTCAAGCAAGTGTTTTCAGGTGTATGTTTTCTTTGCAGGTGCGAAGGTCAGAGGCTCTCTCACTTGTGTTGGTCAGAACAAGTAACCAAAGACTAAACTGCTCTTCGGAAAAAGTGTTTAGTCCACCAAACAGGGAAAGTGAGGATATATACAAGTTCTAGTCCACTGCACTGGACCTGACCCCCTTGCCCCTTCATGGAAAAATCAGAGCTCGGACCCAGCCTGGCCTTGGCTGTGGGAGTCGACCACGATGACCGGGACCTGGCGGTTTTTGTCATCCTGCCTGTTGTACAAGTCAGTTTTAAAGATAGTCTCCGCAACTTCAAAGAAAAGTCGGCTCTGAGACCCACAAGAGGTTCCCTTAGAACTTGACACCACATCCTGCTTCCGCCCCCCCCCCAAAAAAAAAAACGGAAGGAAAAGTCGGCTTTTGGCCTTCTTTTCTGGGGGTCCCCTTTTGGTCTTTTTGGGGAACCCCCTCGGCTCCATCCCCAGGGCTCCCCACGCGGCCGAGGAGATGGGCGGTGCCTCCGAAGCCATGGGAGTGGACCACCTCACGGCTTTTTCAAGCATCGGACCGGGGATTCAGATTGCGGGTCAAAAAAATGAAGGGAACCCCTGAAGGGAAGCCGAACCGTAAATGGATGGTTTGAAGGGAAGCCGAAGCCTCTCAAATTAACGGAAGCCAGTCGGTCCCTTTCTTCTCACGAGAAGAAGGAACCAAGCTCTTGGTCAGGCCAACGGCCAACCCGGACATGGAAACCCAAATTGTCCTGGAACCCCCAAGAGAAACCTGTAGGTATCTAGCTCAAAAATCCAAAAGGGGGGACAAAAACGTCTTGAAAAAGGAATCGGACCCCCGAAAATGACAGCCCTGTAAAACGCCAAGAAAGGGCTCCAAGAAAAGACGAGCCCTGGGCGTCTTTTCTTTCCGAGGCGCTGAGTGAAAGGAGACCCCGAGCTGCACTGCGCACCTGAAGGGCGAAGCAGCGAAGTAAGCGGAGCAACTGGCTACACAACCCTACAGGAAATTCCGCAGGACAACCTCGGGGATGAAAATAGATGGCACCATCCCGCTTCTGTGGGTCAGGGCGTGGCTAAACCAAACTTGGTTCTTCTTTTGCACCATCTACTTTCACCCAACTGTCAAGCTGATCGTAGACCGCATCTGCGAACGCCTTCCCCCCTGCGCCTGTCTCACCCTGGGATACCATAGCCTCCAGACCCGCGTAAGCCGGCACCGGCCTGGGCCGTCGATCGTGGTTGGAGTTGTCAAGGGCCCCCAATTTTGGTGTCGCAGGCTTTTAGGTACCCTTCTTTGGGTCGCTTTAAAGGAAACCCAAAAGGAAAACCACCATTTTGGGGGATCCACCAAAAAAATGACCGTCCCATTTGTTCACACCTGCGCGCACCTTTCCGTTTTTTTTTGTTTTGTTTGTTTGCTCGTTTTTTCACATCTTCGGTTCTGAGATGGTGACAGGTTAGGCCTGACCACAAAACTATGCGCTAACTGAATCACCCACGGACTCCGAGGCGCCGGCCCTGGGAAGGCCGAGTCCTGGTGAGCCCAGCCTGAAGGGTCTGGTGATAACGTCGATTTCAAAGGATCCAGTCACCTCAAACGTGACTGATAACCAGCTAAAGCCAAAAACTGATAAAGCAAAAACTGAAACCCCGTTTGCATCATGTGACACCTGGAGATGAAAATTCACTGCCTGCCTCGGCAGCACCAAGCCCGCAACGGGCGCGCGCGCAGTTTCCCGCGCACTTCGCAGGCCGACAGACATATTTGATTGGTCGGAGCTACGGCGGATGCCCTAAGTATTGCAACGGAACAAGGAAACCGGGAGATCCGGAATTGTCCTCGCCGTTGCGGTTGATGGTTGCTGAACTTTGCAATAGTTGGCGGTTTCTCAAAATGGCAAGCCCTTTTCGGTTGGCATTCAAAGGGACACCAAAAAGGCCCCTGCCGTTTTTTAGGAAACCGCTCCCATTTTTAATTGAGAAAAAGCCCATTTAGGACATCCACCTTGCTCGCTTTTTTTGCTAGGCACAGCACCTATGTTTAGTTGAGAAGCAGCCCAGTTTTAGGGCATTCGCCTCGGCCAAGGCCCCGAGGTCTTCTCCTTTCAGCTGATCTCAGATGTCCCAGGAGATCTCCTGCTGCAAGCTGTGCAGCACGTCGAACATGGTCTCCCTCAGCTTCACCTCCTCGGGGTCTGGCCACTCAGCCTCCTGGCAAAAAGCGCGAAGAAAAAGCGGGGGAAGAGGGAGACCTGAAAAAGGCGGATCCTTGGATTTGGTTGGAACCCAAGGTGGACGCCCCCTCGTGTTTTGTTGCTTTTTTTCTTTGAGGCGGGGAGGGGGTCCTCAGAATAGGATGTGGTCCTCTAAAATGGCAAGGGTCCGCTTTTGTTTCGCTTTGAATGCCAACCCAAAGCGGGTCCACGATTTCCGAGGAGCTTGGCGGAAACCAACGCAGATAGTTGAAACAGGTCTTAACATGTCGGAAGGGTTTGAATCGCCCAGTGACCGGAGTTTGTGCCATCCATACAACACGGGTGTGAATTCTACTTCAGGGCCCGAACAGGTGGATATCAAAAATGCAACTGAACATTAAAAGGTCCACCACCCACTCTCAACCGGCTCCAATTCTCCTCCGCCTCAGCTCCGGCTGTGGCGCCCCTCACAGGCGCCAGCTCGGGCTGCGCGGCGGCCCACAAGGCGAGGAACAGGCCGTGCCTCTCCACGAAGACTCGGAAGAGGCGCTCGCCCTGTGCGAGCAAAATGAAACCTACACCAATCGTCAACCGGATCAAACGGCGGGGCCTGCGTCCCGTCCAAGGAACAAAAGGTGACAAGGTGATGTTCCGAAAAGGGCCAAGAGTGTGCTTTGGTTTGGGCTGGCTTTGAAGGCCAAAACAAGCGGAACACAGCAGAAGACCCCTTTTTGTTGGGCTCCATCGGCCTGGTCCACCCAGCTGCTGACGCGGGTGGCGTCCAGTCGCATCTTCCGCCGCAGCCGTAGGCCGCCCAGCGCCCGGGGCTGCAGCCTGCAGGCGGGCACCGCCAAGGTGCCGTCGAGGCCCAGGCACTGCCTGAAACCGACGGCTCCTCCCCCCAAAAACACCGAGGCCAGGACTGGGAACCCACTGGAAAACCACTCAAGGTCCCACCTTACGCAAAGATGGAAGCTCGAAATTGGAAAACCCAAAAGGGCCAGCTCGGTTTTGAACTGATCGGTTTTTCCCAATACACATCATACAAACTGGCTCCGAACAGTGGTTCAAAGCAATCGCGAGTCCCCGCAAGCGCATGGTGTCTTTGTTGGGTGGGAACCCGCTTTTCGTTGGCAAGGAACCCACTTGTTTGTTGATTCCTAAAGTGAAGCTGACAAACAAGGCGAAACCACCAAAGCGAAACCACCAAAGTGAAACCAAAGTGAACCTGGCTTCACCAATTGAACCAACTCGAAAAAGGTCACGCCCAAAATTGGGTATGGCAGGGAACCGCCAAGCCGCGACAGGCTCAGATCCTGGCACTGGCCGGGCGACAGACTCCTCAGGTGTCAAAATTGATCTGAACGACCAAGCCCTGTTCCCCCTTTCCAAATGAAGCTTGATCAAACTAAATGTGCTTCAAACCACGGGCTAAACACCAAGAAACTGAGCTTGTTCCAACCACATGTGGTGGAAACCACACCGTCTATCACCCAAAAAAAAATGAGCTGAGCAAGCGCTCACCCCATGCCGTGGCCAAAACCCCCTTGAATGGCTTCTCCGAGGCGAGGCCAGCCCCGCTCCTCCGCGAAGCGGCTCCTTCGCAGGTCCAGTTCACCAGGCGGTCGTAGCGCTGCCGCTCCTTCGGCTCCGTGGCCAGCAGCCGCCGCACCTGTCGAGCGCTATGGCCCGGGAGGCGGGCGGGGAGAGAAGTGTGAAGGGGACGTCTTGTGGAAAAGGGGGAAATGCAAGCAAAAAGCTAAGCTATGGAGTCGACGGAGCCAAAGAACCAATCCATTCATTCATTTCAAATTGGGCTTTGTTTCTGAAATCAGCTTCTCAACAAAGGATCCCAAAGGTGCAAGTCAATGAGTCGCTCCTTTTCGAGTCCCAAATCCACCGATCCACCGATCCACCGATCCAGCGCCCACCGAAAAAGTCGCCTCGCGCCGGGCGTGGTGGAAGTTGGAGGCCGCCGTGCCCAGCAGACTGCAGGCGTCCGTGCTCAACAGGAGCTGAGGCCTCGGATCGATCCCAGCCCGAAGTTTCGGCAAATGCAAAGTCAGCTGGGCCGAAGGAAAAAACAAAAAGCGAAACCAAAAGAAAAGCAAAGTGAAACCTGTTGGTTTCACGTTGATTGAAAATGAAACCAAAGTGAAACCAAAGAAAAACCAAAGCGAAACAACCAAAGTGAAACAGGTACCTGTATGCTTGAAAACAAAGTGAAACCAAAGTGAACCAAAGCGAAACAACCCAAAGAAAACCACGGAAAACGTAACTTGCTTGCTAAGGGCTCGAATCTCACACCACCACCACCACCACGACCACCACCACCACCACCACCACCACCACCACCACCACCACCACCACCACCACCACCACCAGCACCACCACCACCACCACCACCACCACCACCACCACCACCACCACCACCACCACCACCACCACCACCACCACCACCACCACCACCACCACCACCACCACCACCACCACCACCACCACCACCACCACCACCACCCCCCCTCCCTCACCTTTGCGGCCCAATATATGCAAACATCGCCAAAAGATATGTCTCGACAAGTCACGTGGACTTCCGCTTGGACCGGAAATTCACCGGCAGCTTCTGCTCCAGGGAGATGTGGTTGCCGACCCGCAGGATGCAACGGATCCGAGGCATAGGCAGAGGCCGAATCTCCTCGATGCCCTTGATGTGCAAATGCTCCACCACCTCGGCGAATTTTCAGGCTCGTCTTCTTTTGATTGGAGCCCTCTTTTGGCTGGAGGGAAAACCACCATGCAAACTCAAGCCATTTCGAGGGTGGTTAAAACTCAAGTGATTTATCCGAAAGGCAATGGGACACGCCTGCAGCAAGAGAAACGGACTTTTTGAAAGAATGATCTGGAACCCAACAAAACATATATGCGGCGCAAACGCCTGACTTTGAACACTCCGGCCAGCCTGCGGCGTCAGTGCCGCTTGCTTGCTTGCCAACGACAAGAGCCCGAAGAACGGCCAGTCAGCCTTCGTCGAGCGAACAACACCCGGTTTAGACACGTTTCTGAGCTCAGCTTCCCACAAATGCTAGCCTATGCCAGCAACCATGAAGATTCAATGACTTATACAGGTAGTGACACGTTTAAACCACCAAACTCCTTCTAGAGCCCTCTTTTGCTTTTTCCCCGTTCAAATGGGTTTTCAGCACTTTTGCACTCGACTCCCACAAAGGATAGAAAAAGGGCCAAGTGCCCTTTGAGTAGTTGGTTGCACCACATTACCATGAGGTAATTTGTAAAGGAAAGACAAGTTCAGTTCACTCACCGAATTCTGGCGGGTAAATCTGAGGAGGGTTTTATGGGCCCGAGAACAACAAACATGCTTCAGAACCAGGCGACAAGCCTCTAACTGGTGGCTTCGAGCCCGGTGGTTTGGTGGCGTCCGGGGTGGTTTCCCATATATCCTTCAAATCAAGCAGTGGTTCAAATCCAAATCTGAACCAATCCAACCCAGAGAATTCGGGGGCAGCCTCACACCGCCCCCTTCCCTCGTCCACCCCCAAACCAACCCCCCCAAATCCCCCAGTCCACCCAAACACCACCACCCCCCCCCCGTTTCACCTACCAAAGGCCAGGCCCCAGTTAGATAAAATCCCCTCAACCGACCAATTCACATAATATGTTTTCATCATTTCATAACAGAACCTCAACTCAAGATTTGATACATAAATTTTACAAATATTTTTCTAAATTTTCAAAAATATATTTTTCCAAAATCCCAAATTCCCAAAATATATTTTTCCAAAATCCTAAAATATAAAATCCCCTCAACCGACCAATTCACATAATATTTTTTCATCATTTCATAACAGAACCTCAACTCAAGATTTGATACATAAATTTTGTAAATATTTTTCTAAATTTTCAAAATATATTTTTCCAAAATCCCAAATTCCCAAATCCCAAAATCCCAAATTCCCAAAATACATTTTCCCAAAATCCCAAATCCCAAAATCCCCATAATTTCAAAACATAAATCTTACAATGTTTTTTTATTGTAAGGTTTATGGACTATTTTACTAGTCATAAACCCTGCCCGCCATTTTTGGGCACCCTGCCCTCCTGCCCGCCATTTTTGGGCACCCTGCCCTCCTGCCCGCCATTTTTGGGCACCCTGCCCTCCTGCCCGCCATTTTTGGGCACCCTGCCCGCCATTTTTGGGCACCCTGCCCGCCATTTTTGGGCACCCTGCCCGCCATTTTTGGGCACCCTGCCCGCCATTTTTGGGCACCCTGCCCGCCATTTTTGGGCACCCTGCCCGCCATTTTGGGCACCCTGCCCGCCATTTTTGGGCACCCTGCCCGCCATTTTTGGGCACCCTGCCCGCCATTTTTGGGCACCCTGCCCGCCATTCTTGGGCACCCTGCCCTCCTGCCCGCCATTTTTGGGCACCCTGCCCGCCTGCCCGCCATTTTTGGGCACCCTGCCCGCCTGCCCGCCATTTTTGGGCACCCTGCCCGCCTGCATTATTGTAATGTGATTTTTAGTGTTGTCGTTGGATGAACCTAGAAATTCCAAGTTTGAACTCCAACCCCAACTCAAATTCCTTAATCCGTCAAACTCGTCAAAATCTCACAAATCAATTCAGCAGGTATTTTGTATAAATCTTCCTGCTTATGTATTACATAATTATCCCCCCATTCTGCTTTAGTTTTTGATGGCAGTCGTTGCGCAGTTTCAATATGTTTATTATTCCTTATTTTTCCACAATCTCTATTACATAAATCTCTAGGTGTCCAATTCGTAATGTTATTCCAAAGTCTAGTGCGTTTTCTGTAATTAAATCCATATTTGCAATAATCAACATCTTTAAAATCAAACTCATTCATAAACTCCTGATTTTTTAATAATCCAGTTTGAGGATTTTCGATTACAAAATATTTAGGATTAAAATATTTGATAATCTCAATAGTTTTTAAAACTATACTATTAGCATATTCAATATTCCTAATTCCCCTAGTTTTTGCTACACTATATTCAGTGCACGGGGGACTGCTCCAAATAAAATCAAAATGGTTTCTGTCAAATTGTTTATAATCCCATTCCAAAATATCACAATTAATATCAGCATTTTTCAAGTCTAATGAGATGACATTATAACCGAGTGACTTTGCTATGGTTCCTACACTTCCAGTTCCACTAAATAATTCTAATAAATTCATATTGTTTATTAGAATGATTTAGATAATGTTTTAGAAATATACATATTTATCATCTTCCTTAATAATCTTATAGTATTCTAATGTTTGTTCTTTTGGACTTTTGATTTGTCCCTTATTTAACATATCACAATATTTTTTACGCTTCGTGTCATAATCACCGCTGGGTCTGCCTATCCCTTTCTTTTCAAAGATTTTGTCAATCTTTTCCTTCTCTTCATTGTTATCTTTTGGTTCGTTTGCCTTTGCATCAAGTTTCTGGTCAATAGTTTTTATCATCTCGTACAACAGTTTAACATTTTTACTAACTGTCATTATTTTCTTTGATAGTTCAGAAATAGAATCATTCTCAACTTCAGACATTTCTATATATATTTATTTATATAATTATTTATTTAAATATTTAATTATTTATAAAATTGATTTAATGTAAAATCTACTCTTTAAGTACTAAATTTTCATCATTTGTTTAATAGTTTCCGGAGTTTCTTTATCGCCATTTTCCGAGTGTGTAGCTTCATTTCCAAATTTGATAGAAATATTATGCGCATCTGTTTCTAGATTGATACTGTCCTTGGTTTTATCAATATTCATTTTTTTATCTGTTTTACTTATTTTAAAACCAACTGGTATACAACTGCATTTACAGTTACCCTTATTTTTTATTTCTAATTCATTCTTCGTTTGTAATATTTTTTTACACATAGGACACTCAAACTCAATAACTGATGTTTCTTTAACAATTTCTTCTTCTTTGTCTTCATCTGTTGAAGAAACTGTAGTATCTGTTTTATTCTTTTTGTTTTTCTTTTTTCCCATTTATATTAATATTTACATTTTTATTTTTGATATATTGTATTCCTAATTTTATTAATTCTAATGTATAAAAGCATACTTTCTTACATCTGTTGTCAGTTATTATCACTTGTTCTATATTCTCTACTTCATCTATTATATCAATATAATCTGAATAACTTCTATTCATATAAATAATAAGATGAAATAATTATTTAATCTTATTATTTCATGCATAATAGAATATTGATGGGGGCACAGCACTTGGAGTTTTCATTGCACTGGACAACGCAAGCGAGGTTCAAACTAATTCAAACTAATTAGCTTCAATGCTTACTGATTGAAGCAATGGAAACCTGTTCCGTTTTTATGATATTCACTACCAGCATATCATAAAAAAGATGTTCCATTCAATAATAAATATAATTTATTTTCTAAATATGTTTAATATTATTTTATTATGCCTGATGTAAAACCAATTGATGAAATCAAATTTGACTTTAAGCAAAGTAAGCACGAGGTCGTCCCTAAATTGCCGATGAGAGCGATGATTGTAGGGCCGTCAGGCTCTGGAAAGAGCACCCTACTTGTATCAATGATACTTGATATTTATAGAGGTGCATTTGAAAGAATTTTTATCTGGTCTCCATCAGTAAATTTGGATAGTATTTGGTTGCCTGTTAAAAAATACATTAAAGAAGGTTTGAAAGTAGATACTGATAAAGAACCGTGTTGGTGGGATGAGTTCAATGTTGAAGATTTAGAAAGAGTTATAGAAACTCAAAATAAAATAATTGAATACCAGAAAAAACAAGGAACGAAGAAATTATTTAATATATTAGTTATATTGGATGATGTATCTGATAATCCAGCAATAACAAGAAATAACAAATTGTTAAATTCTTTATTTTGTAGAGGTCGCCATAGTGGAATATCAACACTTGTCAGTCTTCAAAAATCATCAACCGTGCCACCAATTATTAGAGTAAATATAAGTCATTTGTTTTATTATAAAGTTAGAAACTACAAAGAGATAGAAATATTACAAGATGAATTATCAGCAATTGTTAGAAGCGATAATTTACACGAAAGCAAGAAATTAATTTATAAAATATATGAAACTGCCACTGATGAACCGCATAGTTTTTTATATATTAACCTTTTAGAAAAGAACCCAGATAAAATGTTTATGAAAAACTTTTCACAATATTTAAGAATATCTGATAAATAATGTTTAAAGAATAAATCTTATATAATCTTATATAATGCCAAAAAAGGTTATGGACTATTCTAATACTCATTTTTATAAAATTGTTTGTAAAGATTTAAATATCAAAGACTGTTATGTTGGACATACTACAAATTTTGTTAAACGAAAATGTGCTCATAAAAATAATATTGAGAAAGAAAACGGTAAAAACTACAATCAATATGTATATCGATTTATTCGTGAACATGGAGGATGGATTAATTTTGAAATGGTTTTAATATCTAATTTGAAATGTGAAAACCGTTTAGAAGCATCAATGAAAGAAAGAACATATAAAGAACAACTAAAAGCGACTTTAAATCAAATAAATCCAATAGCAACAGATGAAGACAGATTAGAACAAGCAGAAAAGTATAGTGAATGGAAAAAGGAAGACAGAAAACAAAATCCTGACAAATACAAAGAAAGAGACAAAGCAAAATACGAAAAGTTTAGTGATAAAATGAAAGAAAATGCAAGAGAAAGATACTGGTTAAAAAAGGATGAAATTAATGAAGCGAGGAAAGACAAATATCATAATCACGGAGGGAAGGAGAAAAACTCAATACAATGTAAAAAATATAGAGAAGAACATAAGGAAGAAGTAAAGCTAATGATGAAAAACTGGTATAATAATACGAAAGAAGAAATTGTTTGTGAATGTGGTCAAAAGATATTGAACCATAACCGACCAAGACATATAACAAGGAGAAAACACCAAGCATATCTAAACTCAATACAACAACCAGAAGAGACACCAGAACA